AGCTGACCATCAGAGTTCACATATGGTGTGACTTCCTTTTAGATGAAATATCAAGACCAAGAAGTTCCATAGAGATATCAGAATAGTAGTTACAAGCAGCTTCTGAGGAGGGGAAATAGGAATAATTACTAAAGGGAATGAGATAGTCTTCCGAGCAAATAGCTTTTGAAACTATAGAGACACGTGGTTGCATGATATTGTGAATGCAGCAAATGCCAGTGAATTGTACACTTTAAAATAGGTAATTGTATGTAATGTGAAAATCATCTTTTAAAAAAATTAGAGGCAGGACACAAAAAAAAGCATAGTTCAGGAGATATAATGCCTTTTATTCCTTCTACTCTGAATAAACAATGGAAGAGGGACCTCTAGAATTGTGAAGCTAAAGACAATCAGTACTATTCCCACCCCCTGAAATTATAGTACATTTTACTAAAAATAAGGAAAAGGAAATAATACAATATTTGAGTTTAAACAAAAAATATATTCTCAGGGAAATTAAGTAAAGAAGGTCAACTTATTTATAAGATTCTTTTAAAATATTCAGATTCTTAACAGCCCTTCCAAAAGCAGCAGTCTATGATAGAAGGTAATAAGTAATATATTTAAGATATTCGAATCAAAAAGCATGAGACATTCTTTTGCCTGAGAATTCTACTAAATAAAAGGCAAAATATACCAAAATATAAAAAGAGAAAAATATATGCCCTAAATAAAAGATATTATAAGTATATCTATTAATATATAATATATCTATATGACATTCAAAAAATTATCTCTATCTGTACTTACATCAAATTATATCTTTAAAATAGAAAGTAATACATTAAATTATGTCAAATACAGATAAGTTGTATGCATCAGTTTACTTATTTTCAGCACTATATATGGTAACAAAGACTTGTAAATAGCAAATGTTATCAATAGAGGACTAGTCGAATAAACTGTTGAAAATCCAAAAGTAGAGTATTATTGTCTATACAAAAAGCAATGAGGAGTACACTGAACACTGCTATAAGATAATTGCAATTGTTATGTAAGAGGATCAGAATAAAGTGACCAACATGACTCTTCAAGAGGAATACAGACCCATAAAACTATTAAAATGGTATCTTAGAAATAATTATATATAGAAAATTGCTAATAAAGTTATCTTAGTAATATTCATATGGATAGTGTAATAAATAAGCTCCCAACTATGACATATTTAAGGTAGAAATAATGATACATTTAAGGCATTTCAGGCATTAGTAGGGGAGTTTCTTATTTAGTATAATTGCATAGGGAGTGGGAATATCAAATACAATGAGGAAACATTCTGAGTATATAGGATTATACTTAAAAGTGTTAAAATGAGACATTTGCAGAAAATAATACTAAATATGTCTTACTGCTGGTATTTCCTTTAAAAGATCAGTGTGCACTAGTATTGCAGTCTAGTAAATACAGTAAGTTTTAGCTAGTACTAATTGTAAAATAAGATTATATAAATAATGCAATAAATCAAAATAAGATATACATGTATATACTTATATACACATATGTTGAATATATATGTATATATGTATACATATATATATACATATATAATTGTACTGAATGTTTAAGTACACACACACACATACATTTTGTATATATTTATATACACAAAGTACAAATAACAGAAATGAGAGAGAAATAATTGCTACTTATGCCAAGGACATTGGAAGGATAATATTAAAGGAATATTATGAACAACCCAATGTCTACACCTTGACCTGGAGGAAACAGACCAATTCCTTAAAAGACAAAATCTTCTAAAACTACACACAAAGAAAAAATAGAACTCTGAATATCTTATATTTAATGATAAAATTGAATTGATGATTAGTAAACTTCTAAAACTCAAAGCACTTGGCTAGCTGATTCATTGGTATATTCTAACAACAAACAATCAAACATTTAATAGAGAAGTGCTACCAAATCTCTTCCAGAAAAATAGAAGTAGAGGAAAGACTTCCTAACTCATATGATAAGACTAGCATTGTCTTAGTACAAACACCAAACAAAAATAATACAAAATATGCCACGTAAAATAATTATCTCTTATGATAGTAGAGGCAAAATTTTTCAAAATATTTAAGAATTAAATTCAACAACATATAAAGATTTATAATGACGTGATTTTTGCAGCTATGCAAGGCTGGATCATCATTTGAAAATAAATTAATTTATTACCTCAATAGACTAAAGAATTAAAGTAATTTAATCATGACAATAAATGCAGAAAAGGCATTTAATAAGTTCAATATTTATTTATAACCAAAAAAATTGTTCAGCTACATGGTAATAATTGAGAACTTTCTCTACTTGATAAAGAACAACTACAAAAATCCTGTAGCTGACATCCTACTTAATAATGAGAAAATGGATTTTCCCTTGAGACTAGGAAGAAGCAAGGATGTTCCCTCTCAGCACTCCTATTCAAAATTGTACTGAATGTTTAAGTAATAAGGTAAGAAAGGAAATAGAAGTTATACAGATTGGTAAGAAAAAGAGAAAATTGTCTTTGGATATGACATGATTTTCATTTTTTAATACTTCTTAAGATAATTTGCCAAGAAATTGCAGTTATATTTGCCATATGAGGCAGCAAATATTTGTCAAGTAAAAATTTAGTTTTCAAATAATTACTCAATACCTGCAATGTGCAAGACTTGGGTATAAACTAGGAAATTATTCATTTCCACTATGAAGAGGATACATTTTAATAGATGGCAAAAACAAATAAGTAAGCAGTGATGTAATTCCTGTGCTCACTTAAGAACACAGAATAAAGCCTCTTAAATAGGAAAAACAAAGAAGTCTTCCTACAGAGAATGCCATCTTGTGAATCTGGATGAGTAATCATTAAATAAACAGCAACTAGAAACATGAGATTAGATGATAGGTATAAGCATACATATTTATAAAATCAGGGCATTGGCATGTAGTGCTAAATGACAACCTGAGAATCTCTTTCAACAATAGAGGTAGGCAGTTTTTATACGCTAAATGGGTGGAGGCATTGAAGTGAGGGCTCTTATGGAGGTGATCACAAATAGGATGTTAAAACTTGGGAGAGGACCCCCAGAGGTGAAAGGGAATATTGCACGTGTAAGGTTAAGAGTTGGGTAGAGTATGATGTTAGATGAGGTGAGAGGTCATAGTAAAAATGAGATTGGATTGCTCAGTGGGGACTTAACAAAATAGGAGTTTGTAGATAATGTCAGAGAGCTTACTATTTTTTAGAACAATGGGGAGCCAAAGCATGGAAGTGGCAACATAATTTTTCTCAGAAAATGGCAATAGTGTAGAGAATGGGAAGTGTCAACATTAGGCAGCTATTTTTTGTAAGTATGTAATACTATGGGGTAGTATTGCTCATGCAATAGTAAGGAGGGACTGTGGTGGTAAACATAGTTGGACAGACATTAGACCCAATAAGTGTTTATCCATGAATAGCAAACTCATTGCATGATATATGCTTGGTTTCTATCAAAAAGATATTATCTATGTATTTCTGAAATGGGTAGTGGAGAAAATTTTGATTTTGTCTTACAGTCACCAATGTCGCCAATTTTAGACATCTGAGATAATCCAAAGCATAATCTACAACCAGGGTGAGAGTAAGAGCTGAAAATAGAGGGCACACTAATCTCCAGGGGTTAGTTTTGCCAAATCACCTCATTGACCTTGGACATAGTTCAAAATTAGATATGTTGAAAGAGATTCTCAGGTTGTCATTATAGCACTACATGCCAATGCCTGACTTTATAAATATATATGTCTATACCTATCATCTAATCTCATGTTTCTAGTTGCTGTTTATTTAATGATTATTCATCCAGACTCACAAGAAACGAATACCCTTGCTCTTTGAGGATCCATGTCATATTGCTTTGGCTCCCAAAATAATAAATGGATGTGGCTACATTAACAATTAGTCTTTTTCAAAATAATAGTTTCATTTGTTCCATGCAGAATTTGCTTCTCAAATTGTAATCATTTTTATATAGTTTGACTCATTGAAACTAAGTAAGGAGTCACTAATAATCAAACTACTAAAGGAAAATGTAGTTCAAATATAAAAAATATATTTGCTTTTTTTCTTTATTTCGCTTTCCTTTGTAAATATTTAAAACTCAATTATTTACTTTGAATCCCTGAAAATGTCATTTCCTTTTTTTGTATTCATTTTCCTTCTGAATTTATACAAGATATGTGTTATTATCATTCTTTGAAGAACATCTGTATTGCAGTTTTTAAGCAAGAATCTTTAAGACATATTGTTTTAAGAATGCTACAGGCAGTTCTTAAACTCATGCCAAAGAAGTTTGATATAGTGCTTGATTTTCTGTGATTTTTTCATTGGGTTTCTCCCTCTAAGATATTTTCTGGTAATTATTTCACTTTCAACTTAAATTATTATTTTTTTACTGTGCTCTTTCAATTTTTTTATTGATTTTTATATATGACAGTGGAATGCATTACAATTCTTATTACACATATAAAGCACAAGTTTTTATATCTCTGGTTGTATACATAGTATATTCACACCAATTCGTGTCTTCATACATATACTTTGGAAAATGATATTCATCACATTCCACCATCATTTCTAACCCCCAACTCCCTCAGTTCTCCTACCACCTCTCTGCCCTATCTAGGGTTCATCTATTCATACCATGTTCTCCTTACCTACCTCACTATGAATCGGTCTCCTTATATAAGAGAAAACATTTGACATTTGTTTTTGGGATTGGTTAACTTCACTTAGCATTATAAGAATGGTCCTTAAGATTTGATTGTATCAGGATATCAAAACTAATAGTGGTAAATACCTCAGAGTCTTCCCTTTAAACAACTCTGAACACTATTCCATTTTTTTTCTGTGCTTTCATTACTTATATATGAAGAAAGCAATTCTATCACATTTCCCAGTTTTATTTTTCCAAGATAAAAACATCAGTTGACAATAATAAGAATAAAGCATGTATTGCTTTAATACAAGATCATATATGTCAGTTTTACAAACATTTCACAGTGTGTCAATGATGATTATCAGGACTACTATTAGGATCTTATAGAGCTCTTGTATCTCTCAAAAAGAGCTATGCTCTTAACTCTATATTCATTAATGGAGTAAATGAAGAATATAATACAGAAAGTCATGATAACTACTGAGAGGCTGGCCAGAATTATTAGGGACATTCTCTTCTCCTCTGTCCCCATTAACACACACAAATAAGGCCCTTGACACAAGTCGGTACTGCACCAACTCTTTTTTCTAATCAGTGGTTCCTGATAGTGCATAAGGATGGCCAAGAAGATCACCTGTACAGACATCTGTAGCATAAAGTAGACAAGATACATTGCCAATATGGGCTTTCTCTTGGACAAGTCAAAAATCTCTTCTTCCTTCTTTGCTTCATCTGCATTGTTGTCTTCTAAGTTTTCTTTTTCTAAGGATTGCTTCTTAAACATCATGTTCTCTTTATATATACCCCAAAGAATAGCAAACTCCATTACAAAAAAGAAGGAGGTAAAAACAAAGCCAACCATATACCAAACTCCTAGAATAGGTTTGGTGAAGTGGTCCTCGTAGCATTCTGCTAGACAGGCATCAGAAATATTCCCATGGCACTGGAAGTCAGTTTCTACATGAATCCAGGACATTTGCACAATATGCACAACTGAAACATAAATAAAAGTGACACTGAACCACAGTGTTCGTCCTATGTAGAAGTTAGTGGGATCTTTGCTCATCTCTAGTATGGTTGGCACCACACCCCAAAGTTTCATTTTATCAGCCATCTTAGAGCCTAGGAAGACAAAAAGAAAAGTAGCAACAGTAGGAAGAGATTTTTAGCCACTTACACAATTTTTGCTATTATCATATAGACTTTCTGTGAGGGTACTCAGCTGTCTTAGGTGAGAGGAAAACTCCAAAGAAAGTTTTGAAGAGCAACAAAGATATTTTACCCATTTCATTTTTTTAACATGCTCTCATTCCTAACTCCAATTTTCTCTTATCAGTTTGTCTTTCCTCCCTGATTCATTTCCAACCCCCGTCCTATAGTTACTTTTTTAAACTCTCTGCATATTTATTTATCCTTTTTGTTCTCATTACAAATTCTCAGGATCATTTACTTACTTTTATAATCTGTACCAACCTGTGCCAATCAACCAACTTGAGTCAACAGTAAGTTTCAACTGTCATAGAACTCTGGATACCGGTGCTTAACAGTGAATCTTCACCACTTGTCTCTCAAGAAGTACTTGAGATAGGTTAATGGAAATAACTGGTACTCTTTTAGGCTCTTTCTAAATCCAATATTTCCAAAGTCCATCACATATTTCAAAACCTGTTTCTGGTTAATCAAGATGGATGGATCAATATATGATTGCTTTCTCCTGAAAGAACAGCTGAAATTTCTTTTTCCATTTATATCCTCTTGCTTACTTGAAAATTTTATAGATTTGAAGATATTTTGAGCCTCATATCATTCTGGGTGTAGAGAAATGAATGAGACAGTTTTTTACTTTAAAGGCAAAGTCTGAGGGTGTGCTTCCCCAATATGACCCCTGTGGTTCCTGTGATTTGTTTTCCCTTTTATAAGCTAGAAAAATATCATTGGAACAATTCATTATTAAGTTGAACCTCGGTCCTTGCTGCTTCAACCTTTACCACCCAGTTGGCTGAGGTTTTGTTAGGCCTGCATGACAGTTTAAATTCTTCCTCTACACAACTCTGTTCTCTCATCAACCCCCAACTCTATTTATTTTCAAAAGCATTAAACTTCAGTAAATATTTTGCACCCTCAATTCTAATGCAGCATCTACTTCCACAAAACACAATCAGTGATGCTCTTCTGGTCTGTGGAAGTCCATGAATCAAGCTACATCCACAAGGAGTTGAGCTGCCCTTCACCTCTGGAGTGAGAATTTCTAAAGTGCCAACCATTCTTTAGAACTCACAATGCTTAATCCTTGCCCTGGAGCCCTCTGAAAATAAACTCTTATTTAGCACAGAGAGGTGATAGGTTTACAACAAATGTCTCTATAAATATTTCCATAGAGCCTGAAGTTTTACATGTTTTTCCAAGGAACAGACTTGTGATTCTAGGTGCTGCTCAACACGGGAGAGGGAAATGTATTCAAATGAAAATCAAACAGGAGACAGGATGCATTCAGAATTAAATACTCTTACTATCTCCTCCTAATTTTTAGGTTATTTAAAATGATTTTTTCTAGTTTTTTGACGAGGATTTTTAGTATACTTGGAACTTATTTTTAAGTGTAAATATGTACAAAAATATAAAAGTCACACTGTTCACTTCTACAAATTTCATAGACTGAACATACTCATGTAATCATTATCCAGTTCAAGATAAAAACCATTACTGACATTCCCAATTCCCCATTTTCACATTTTTTTCAGATATTCTTTCATATCTTCTTTTATGTGATCAATAACTGGACATCTAAATACAGCTTAAATGTCCAATTAATAATGCAGCTTGGCTGATATTTGCAAATATATAAATAGAACCATGTGGTATTATGTCTGGATTTTTTAGTTTTATATATTGTTTTCACGAGCTATCTAGAATATTGTTGAGTATAGCTGCAGTTCTTTCACTCTCATTACTCTATAGCATTCCATTATATGAATGTAAGATCTTTTATTCATTTTACTGATCGTGTTTTATAGTTTGAGGCCACATGAATAGAGATATTATAACTATTTGATACATGTCTTTTGATATATTAGTTATACTCTCTTAACCATGAGAATCTGTTTGCTCTATATCCTTAACAATACTTTGAATTATCAGTTATTGTTTTTTTCATTTTGGTCTTTATGATGGATATGCAGTTGTCACATTGTGGATTGGATTTACATTTCTTTGAGGATTAATGAAATTGAGCAATTTCCAAATGTTTATTGGCCATTTGAAAACTATCCTTTGTGAAGTCTTTTGCCCATTTATTCTAATAGCTATTTATCCTTTTCTGATTGAACTTGGGGAATTCTTTATATGTTCTAGATTAAATATAAAGTTCTTCATAGACATTTGAATTGCAAATATCTTTCACCATTCTGGGGAATGCCTTTCTCTTTTCTCAATAGTTTCTTTTAATAAAAAGAAATTCTAAACCTTAGTGTTAATGATATATGTGGGTTTTTTCCTGTGGTTTTGGTATACTGTTTAAGAAAACTACTTATGCTGAAATCAGAAGATATTATTCTGTATTTTATTGTGAAACATTTATTGTGTTTCCTCTTTTTTGTTTTGCATTAAGATATAACACAGTGAAAGTTCACCCTTTTTATTGTACAGTTCTTCAAGAGTTGACAAAGGCATACAATCATATAAAAAAAATTGTCAAATTTTCTGAATTGCAGTGCCATTTTACATTAAACAATGTATTAAATTTCTATCACTCATCACATGGTATTGTGAAATCTTTTTATTTTAGCTATGTGTCTATTAAATATCTTTTGGCCTATTTTCAAACTTTTATATTGACTTATGAAAAGAGAATCATTTTCATGCCTCTCTTCTAATTTCTGGTGATTTGCTAGCAATCTTTGGCATTCTTTGGCTTGTTGATGTGTTGTTCCAGTTTCTTCCTTCATCTTCACAAGGCATTCTTGTGTGTGTCTCCAAATTTTCTCTTTTTATAAGAATACCAGTGATAGTGGATTAGGCACCATCCTAATAAACTTATTTTAACTTAGAAATTACCCTATTTGAAGTAATGTCACATTTTGAGATTCTCAGGATTAGAAACCCATTGTAACCTGTGACCAGCCTCTGTCTATTTCTTTCTGTACCATGACCCCTGGTGATCACCATTCTATTCCCTGTTTGAGTTTCACTTAAATTCCACAAATAATTAAAATCATGCATGTGTTTTACTATGTCTGGTTTATTTCACTTAGCATAATGTCCTCCATGTTCTTCCATATTTCCCCAAGTGGCAAGATCTCCTTTTATTCATTCATAGATAAAAATTTAGATTGTTTCTACATCTTGACTATTGTAAACAATGCTACAATAAACAAGGAAGTGCTAATATGTATTCATGATCCTGTTTTTTATTCTTTTGGACAAATATCTGGAAGTTGGATTACTGGATCTTATGGTAGTTCCATCTTTGATAATTTGAGGAACTTCCATACTGTTTTGCATAAGGGTTATACCAATTTACATTGCTACCAGTAAGGTATAGAGTTGCAATTTCTTCACATCTTTAACAACATATGTCTGTTATTTATTTTGATAATAGCCATCTTGACAGGTATGAAATGATATCTCACTGAGATTTTAAAAATATTTTTAGTTGTAGATGGACACAATGCTTTTATTTTATTATTTTTTTATGTGGTGCTGTGTATTGAACCCAGTGCCTCACATGTGCTTGGCAAGCACCCTACCACTGAACTAAAACCTTCACTGTGATTTTGATTTTCATTTGCCCAACCTGGAATTGCAGTTGACTAGTGATATTGAACATCTTTTCATATTCACATTAGCCTTTAGTATGTCTTCGGAGAAATGTCTGTTCACATCCTCAGCCCATTTCTTTTAACCAGTTTTTGGGTTTTTTCCTTCTTGATTTGTCAGAGTTTCTTAACATATTTTGGAATTCATTCTTATTAAGGTGTATATTTTGCAAATATTCTCTTTTATTTCTTAGGTTGTCTTTTTCATTTTGTTGATTTGTCGTTGTTGTTGTTGTTGTTGTGCAGGAAACCTTCAGGTTGATATAATCCTAAATGTTATTACTTTCATCTGACACAGATCTCATTGATAAAATTGATGTCATTTTTTTTTAAACTTTCATGGTTTCAAGTCTTAAAGTCTTTAATCCATTTGGAGGTAATTTCTATGTATGGTATTAGAGTCTGATTTAGTTCTTTTGCATGTTGATACACAGTTTTCCCAACACAATTTATTGACGGAATTATTATTTCCTAAAGTATGCTTGGTGCCTTTTAGAAAAGTAGTTGACCATATATGCACAGGTTCACCTCTAGAGTCTGCTCCATTCTATTTATCCATATGTCTATTTTTAATGCCAGTAGAACACTATTATGATTACTATACTTTTGTAATGTAATCTGAAATCAGGAAGTATGGTGCTTCCAGCTTTGTTCTTCTCACTCAAGTTTGCATTTGTTTTGGAGTTAGTTATTATTTCATATGCATTTTGGAGCGCTTTTTCTGTTTATGTAAAAAAACTATTTTTGATAGAAATTGTACTGAACCTTTTTCTTAATATTAAATTATTTCAATTCATGAACACAGGATTTATTGCTATTTTGTCCCTTTTGATCAGTATTTTCAGCTTATAAATGTCTCACCTCCTTGGTTAGACTTATTCCTAAGTATTTTATTTTTTATGACATTGTAATGTTTTGTTTTCTTATTTTTTAGATAGTTCATTGTTATTCATTGTTGTTGGTGGAAGATATTTGATCACCTTTGATCACTAATTCAGTTTCCTTACTTATTATTGTCCAGATTTTCTATTTTTTTCATGATTCAATTTTTGTTTTAATATGGAAGGCTTCACAAATTTGAGTGTAATCCTTGAGCAGAGGCCATACAAATCTTCTCTATTGATCCAATTTTAGTATATGTGCTGTTGAAGTGAGCACAATTCAGTCTTGATAGGTTTTGTGTGTTAAGGATTTTATCCAATATTTTTAGATTATCTAGTTTGATGTCATACAATTATTGACTGTGTTCTCTTAGAATCTTTTCTATTCATGTGATTTTGATTTGATTTGTACCCTTTCTTTCTTTCCTGATTTAAATTATTTGATTTTCTCTTTTTCCTTAGTTTATCTGGCTAATGGTTTGCCAATTTTGTCAATTCTTTCAAAAAATAAGTCTCCCATTTTTACATTTTTTTCCAAGTGCTCTCCTAATTTATTTGTGTCTTCTGTAATCTTTGTTATTTCCTTTCTCTGCTTGACTTAAAGGTTCTTGAGATGCCAAGTTATAGCACTGATTTGAGCTTTTTTAATATATGCATTTGCAGTTATTAACTACCCTATTTTTAGCACAGCTTTTGTTGGATCCACAAATTTTGGTATGTTGTATTTTTGGTTTCACTGTGTCAATGTTTCCTTGTACATTTTCCTTGAATCTTTGTGCTTAATTTCCACAAATTCTGAATATTCCAGTTTTCCTTGTGCTACTGATTTCTATCTCCTTTTCATTATGTTTGGAAGGGTACTTTGTATATGTTTTAGTCAGCTTT